ACATAACACAGAATGTGTTTGAGTATGATTCTTGTTAGCCTAGCAATTTTCCTTATTTTATTTTATTAATTTCATTTCATTCATGAAAAAACACAAAAATTCTAAAATAAAAACGTAAATCAATCACTGAATGCAAATTGTGCAGATAGAAGAAAAAAAATCTTATAATGTCTGACCCTTAGTAAAAAAAAAACAACTCCAAACAAAAAACTTAAACTAAGTGCAATAGTCTTACTCCACTGGCAGATTATTTCACTTAAGTTATGAAGAATGAGACTATAATCTTGCATTTTTAAACTTGATTTTAGATGGATAATTTTTGCAATTTAGTGATTAAAAAAGTTGTGCTTTCAAAATAAGAGGCTTAAGTGTAAGTTGTATTCACTGTATCACTTGGATCCAATTTATTCGATGTTTTCACTACACAGCAGCTCCTTGCTTTTTTATTTATTACATGTTCTGTGTCAACACAGAGATCATCAGACATTCAATATGCAGGGTCTCCAACACCTAATTAYGTAAACTGTCTTCAGAGGTGTATTCAGATAGATGAGTAGACAACAAAATCCACACGTTTCTTGTATTTTAATGATGAATAAATTTTTATTGTGTTATAATACCACTAACTTGTTACATGTTGTAAATATGTTAGACTCCTTGAATCGTYGCTGCTCCGATTAGATCCTCACATAAAAGAGTTTTAAAACTTAGTCAGATTTTTTTGGTGAAATAAATCTTAATTAATTAAAACCAATCCAAAAAAAAAAATCAACCAGATGCCATGTTTTTCACAGAAAATAGTTACATAATTATGCAAGCATTTTATATAAAAATTATGGAAAGGTCAGACAAAACACAATATGAAGAAGATATTTATTACAAAAACAAACAAAAAAAAACCCTGATTTGATACAGATCATTACATTTCGAGTCTCTTTTTGGAAGAGTTTAGGATATGATTCCCCAGGATCAACATGTGTTTCAGAGCTGTCWCAGCCAAATGTGACTGCCATTGTTCAGAATGTACTGGGACAACTGACAGCAGTTAAAGTGTTTGAAATACTGGTGTGACTTGTGTGGTCGTTGACTGKGGCTAGACTTAGCACTCGCTGAAGGACATTACGTGATGTACTGTGCCTGCAGGGGGTCAGAGTTTTGTGTTTACTGTTAAGCTCCCTTTTTTGCCCCCGCAAAGCTTATACTTTACATTAAGAGTGACAGAGGCCCTCTTCTCTTCAACCTGGAGCATCTCCCATGCCAAAAAGAGACCCCTTAATGTAATAGTTGAGATTTCTTTGAAGTGGGGTCCTAAGGAAAGGTCAAAAACAATTAAAATGCCAGTCTACTATAACTATAAAGAGCTTTAGTAGAGGACTTTGAATGACCTCAGGTTGAAGAAATAAGTTTAATTTAGCTGATTTAATGGTTAGTTTGAGTGAAGTCAAGACCATAGTGAACAGTTCTTATTTTAAAACTACTTCAGTCCAACATTTCATAATGGAATAACAACTGTATACACCTTTATATTTCTGTCAGTTTGGAACAACGTGGTTATTTTACATACATTTGTTTTAGGACAGCAGTAACTCCCTTAGGTTTTGGCTCAGCTCTGATGAGCTTGTGTGTTACGATCAAAACTTGATTTCCGCTTCAGAAGATTTTTCCAGTGCTTCCTAAATTACACTGTGGGTCATGAAACACTAGAGCTACAGAGATTYAATTAACTTTTAAATTAATAACGAGTAGCATATTTAGCTTTAATTGTTATAGTGTRGAAAAGCTTTCAACCAACAGAAAATACAAAAACATATTCAAATGCATTCCACAGAATTCATTCATCCTATTCTGTTTTTCTCTGTAAGGTGCAGGAAGATTGAATTCCCAGCCAAAACCCTGGAAGAATTTTTTTCTCAATATTAGTTTGAATTTTATGCAGCAACTCAACCTCCCTCTCAGCCCCCTCACCAGTAACGGTGTAAAAGTTTATAATCCCTGCAGGCTGGTCGATATATACGCCGATAGTGGGGCAAAATGGGACGTCATTGATATCTTGGTGGGCGCAGTTGTACCAGATCTCGTAACGCACTCCTGACCAACACAGACCCCAGGATTCATCATTTTCCCCAATTCCACTTGGTCTGGTATCAGCCTTCCTTGCTGCTTCTTCGTAGGTGGCTCCAATTACCACCCACCCTGAGTGCTCAACCTCCCAGTAAGCCCTGCTGTTCCAAATACTCTCTTTGCACAGCACCTTTAATGAGGAAAAAAAGTTTTAAAACCAAAATTGTTRGATATWMTTTTTTTTGTCTTTTTTTCTGCCTTACCTGTGGAGAGTATTCATATCTCTCTGGTCCATCAAGAACAGGACAGACCTCCTTAGTTCTACGGACCACCTTAGAGCAGTCATCAGAAATCCAGAGCAGCTTATTGGCAGTTTTCTTATCCAAGGTCAAATCTATCCAGTCTGGTTCAGGGTAAAAAAAAATAAAAATAAAAAAAGATTATATTTTGGTGTTAACAGAATCATTTGGCAAAACACTGAGACAAGAAAATGTTCTTACACTGCATTAACTCCACTCTGCTCGCTGGCTCTGGGATACCAGGCAAATATTCACAATGTCTCTCTGAGAAAAAAAACAAAATACCAGAAGTAAAACAAACAAAAAACACATCTGCGTGTTATAATTACAATAATAATAATATTTGCATACCAGATGCCTTTACCTTTATTAATCTGTTCATTCTTGCTGGATTTGATTTTCTTCCCTACGGTCAAAATATTAAATTAGAACACTGGTTTCTTTCAAACACAAATTGATGGCTACAAAAGTGAATATTGTCTGAAAATTAGCTTTGGAACTTAATTTTTTAGTTAAAATTGTTTGAACATTTATGAATTTTGTTAATTTTGCTTTACAGATCTGTAGCTTTAATTACATCTAACATGCAAAGATCAAAATTGATGTAATTTAGAAGCGTTTAGGCTAGGAATTAATGCTTTAATTTCTTAAAGTTTTGGCATCTGATTTTGATATTTAAATAATGCTGCTTTTTGTTGGTATTGAAAAATTCAGACCCTTCTGGTAAACAAATCATACCTGGTTTGATGGTCTCAGAGAGGACGGTAGTAGAACTGTGTCTACTCTGCATCTCAAGGTCAGTGTGCTAACAATCCACGTCCGTACAGTTTGATTTATGCGGGGAAGATGTGTAAAATGTTTGTCTTCTGTCTGGCTTTAAATCCTCCGCAAAAATGATGGTGGCTTTAGGAGTGTCTGAAAGAGGTGTTGGTGCCAGTGGAATGACGGCTCAACTGAGGGGCATGTGCTTGACTTTGACACACAGAGAAAGACTAATGTAGACATCTGACCCCAATGAAACCTAATACATATGATGAAGGGAGGGTGAAGATGTTCTTATACTTCACGCAGAGTAAGATTAGAAAAATAAAAAAGATCCAGTCAATGTTAGCTGCACGGATGGGGTACAGTAAGCAGGATAAATGGACAAACTAGAAAATATTTACTTACATTATACAGAAACAATAAACAAGGGGCTCTAAACTCTATTGATACTCAGTTATACTTATTATTTAAATTTTGTCTACATAAAATGTTTTACTTTTTGTGGTGGGATACCTTGATCATGTGAACACTGTTTGTTGTACAATTTCTCACATTTTGTTCATTTTCAGTGGGAAGCCTTCATATACCACCAAAATGGAACCAGTGCTCTGTTGTATCACTCAGCTGATGAACAATCTCAAAACGTTCTTGTGACATTAGAGGTTGAAAAGAACTATGAAAACTGGACCACCCTCCTGGAGGCGGGCTTGAGAGAGGAGTCCACTGGTGAGCACCTGGTAAGGGAGCCTTGCAGTCTGGAACTCAGCCCAAAAAAGATGAGGTTAGATGCAGTCTGTGATGGATGGTCAGTTACGTTTGAGGTCTGGATGTGTCCACTTGTAGTGCCATAAATTAGCCCCTGCGATGTGAAGTGTCACTTTGCCTGGGGTGAAAGACCCTGAACTGTTGCGTGAGGTTGAGCAATATTAACTAGATACGGTTAGGCTCGCGTCCACACGCAGCTTGGGCTCTGGAACCCAACTCTAAGAGATGGGTTGGACTTTTTCATACTTGAAGAGTTGCTCAAAAGGAGGTTTTGGGCAGGTGTGGTGTTACTCTCTGGCTGAACTTGTTGGTATAAGAGTTTTCACTGATAGTGGATAGTGCTGCCTATAGGGCTGGGCAATGTGGCCTAAAAACAATATCACAATATATTGACCAGTTTACCTCGACAATGATAAATGCACGATAATGCTTAC